ATGGTCGAGCACGGATCTCGAAACATTGATATGATCGAACATTGAACAATGGTCGACTATCAATACAAATTTCGGACGCAACTAGCGAAAACTGAGCTGAGCTCTGCGCTAGAGTCCTGCGAGAAACATCGAGACAATCGCTCTCGGATTTTCGATGCAAATAGCGGTAACTGAGCTGAGCTCTGCGCTAAGCATCACTCGAAAAACGCCGAGGTCGTTATCCTCGGAATTCTCTCAAGTGAGAGATGTCATTTGCGTACACGAAAATGCGTATAACGTGATATTAAATCGATACTTATAAATTAAATCGTTAATCGTTAAATCATTACCTCTATCCGCGTTTCTCGGTTTATTTGATTTACACGAGTTTTCAGATATCTACATCTTTTATTAGGTAGGATTTTCTATTAGATAGAATTGTTTTATTAGGTAGGATTTTTTGTTAGGCAGGATTAAACAATTTTGTATAAATTTTGTATTTTTTTTATTTCTGTGCATCGATAAATATTGAAACTTCTGCTTTGACAGTGAGTTTGTAGTTTATTGATGACAAAAATAATGATAAAACTTCGGGTGGGCAAACAGCAAGATTCTCTTTCGAAAAACGAAAGATGTTTCTTGCGCAAATAAAGCATTATATTGAAAGTAAGGCGTTTAGATGTTTAAATATATAGAAAATAACTTTCACGATAGGAAAGTTTTCTACAGTTTTATAAGATACTTTGCTCTTTTCAAATAAAATTTTTTAAATTTTCCATAAATCTTTTAAACGTTTAAACGTCTTTATTGACATCTTGATAGCAAATAAACTATTATATTAATTTTTATAATTGAAATATCGAGTTCAAAGGAATGATGAGGGTACATCTTCCTTTTATTTAATATTATTTTTGTTTTATGTTATTTTGTGTATTATTTCAGTGAAAAATTAAGAGGGCAATATATATAAGAAAATATATAAAAGGTAATATAAAACAAATTATTGTTAATTCTATTTTAAATTATTTTGTTATATATTGTTACATATATTTTCCTCTATTCATTTTTCGATAAAAAAATGTTCCGTTTATTTGAAAATTTCATTTGTATTCTTTTGCGATTATCTACTTATCACTTAAGAGATATGAATGTTTTTTTCAATTTCTTACATAATTGCGATTACCGTTGTAGTCGATCTCTTATATGTAAAACGATGCAAATGGAATCTTCAATAAATGTACAATATGAATATAAATGTACAAAATAAAATTTCCAATTCGACAATATTCACATTTATTTGTTTTAGGTTATCGAACAATGATATATTATGACAATGAAAAATGAAGAATAGTTTCCTAAAACAAAATAAATATTTTCTAGATTTTTATTAAACGCTTTTATTTTTTAGGTGTAATTTGTCAGGTATGATTTTTCAGACTTTTATTTAATGTTTCTTTATCTTTTATATTTATATATTTGATATGTATATGTATATCTGGTTAATGCTTTAAGAAAGTTTTTTAACATGCTGTTTGATGTAGCGTCATAAAACTTTTAATTTTTTATCTATAATTATTTTCAGATTTTAACTTAATATTTTAATTTTTCAGATTTTAATTAAGTTTTTATTTTTTAGGTGTGATTTTGCAGGTATAATTTTTATTTTTATTTAATGTTTCTTTATCTTTTACACACATTAAAATATATAATTTTGTAATACATATAATTGTTATATTGAATTAACCAGTTGAGTGGTAATGTATCATATATGTACAAAAAAAAAGTGCCAAACGTGGTAATGTATCATATATGTACATTTCTAAATAACTTCACTAATTTTCAACAGATTTACATAAAAGTTGATATCCTAAGGTTTTTTGGACTGCTGAACTCGAATCTATTGTCAAAATTGTAAAATTTAAAATGGCGGATCCAATATGGCGATTGTTAATTGTTAAAACGACTAAAATATTAGAGTTAGGTGAAATATTTATTTGTAGAGCTTTTTATGAGCTTCATTTTTTGTTTGACAACTTTTTTCGTACAATGAATATTTTCTGAAACAATTAACAAAAACAGTTTTATTTTTTAACCTTTGAGGGGGGCTAGGGGGCGGAGGGGGCATTTGCGCCAAAAATCCATTTGGAAATATTATTTACTAGATAAAATAAGTATTTAGATAAAATAAGTATTTAGGCTGAATATAAGCCAAATCGGAGGTGATAGCTTTTCGGAAGTCTTCCCCCCTTTTTTGATCCATCTCCACTTTTAACTGGAAAGTCGTAGTAAACATTTTCAAAAATCATTGTTCTTGTCTTGAAACGCCCTTTCAAATAATCCCTACTCGATCCATAGTGCCATTTAACATTTTAGACCCCTATTCTGCTCCCCGCCCCCAGGGGCAGGGGGGGGGGAATCCACACCCATTCCGAAAAGTTGCTTTTTCGAAAACTTTGAACCCATGTTTCACCGTTTTCCGATATTCTAACTTTTGACACAAATCTTTCGGAAAAGTCTACCACTCAACTGGTTAACATTTATCTTATGACGATGTCGGATAAACAAATATGGGAAATATTTGCCGAATCGATAACAATTGATAAGTGTATTACCAGAAAACAAATATATGTATTTGTGTACAAATTAATTAAATATATCGAGCTATTTGTGTGTTATCATAGATTTGGTTCTGTATTTCTTGTACGGCGTATGGCATAGTAATAACCGAGAAAGGAAGTTATCATCGAAATCTACTGACAAAAAAAATGGCGAAAAAAAATTTCTAATGGCAAAGCATGGGGAAATGGTGACGTTTCTCATTACACGTGATAAACTAAGAAATGGTTATAATAATGTGTATTTAGTGCTCTAACACTCTTGCGTTGTATAGTTAAATATATTTTATACATTTATAAATAAATTTTATTATAACTATATACTATTATTTTATACTATATCTTTATCATTTATCTATTTTATACTATTGCTTTAGCATTTATTTTATACTGTATACTATATCAATACAAAACAAATTAAAAACTGAACTATGTTTTCTCTTCCTCTCATTGTTAAAATTTTATAATAATACGATATATTGGCAAAAATTTGATTAATTATTATGAAAGAAACAACTCGAAAATATAATTGCACGTTCGGGATTCACGATAACAATCAACGATAGCAAAGAGAAATAAAAAGTCGTATAGTTAATTTTGTACGTCGTCTGTGTCGCGTTTATACTACGCCTAAACTACTTGAATACGCTTTCTATGTTTTATGCATAAAAATGAAATGTATTCATTAATATATTCGCGTTTTACAGCATTGACAGCACTTTTTTATGTCATATCATAACATTAAAATATAAATAAATATGTAAACTTTCATAAATAAATTATTATCACAATTTTTGCAGCGTTATTTTAAACTCGTTAGCCTTGTCTAAGATGAGAATTGATTTTATTCCATTAAAATACCGCATTTTAATACATTACGACGTTTTACGTTGTCTTATATTTTTATATAAATAAATATATAAGTTAAAATTAAAAATAAATATCCTCGAAATAAAATGTTTAAAAAAGAAATACTGTTTTGTATGTGTATGAATACCGACTTTCCACACAATAAATCTCGATGAAATAAATTTTGCAAAATACACGGTTTAACGAGTCATTTATATACAAATTTATAACTATCAAAATTAATTTTTTATAATTTTTATCCTTTATTACCTCAATTCAATTTTAATTAAATATAAATCAATATTCACAAAGAAATAAATATTCAAGCATCAAGTATCTATCTATCATAAAAGAAGGAATTTTGCGCAATTGATTTACTTCAAATAGGTAATAGAAAATGGAAAATACAAATTATATATCTCAATAAATAAGAATTGTGTAACAAATTTCGCATTGTACATCGATTAAATTGCGTATTTCGAAAGATTTATTTAATCGAAATTTATTGCGTTGGCAGCCGTTTTCACGCAAAGCGACGTGTTTCGTGACATTTCTATTGCGTGAGCATTTATTAATTTAATTTTTATTCATATATTTATTTATTTGTGTTACAATACGAAATAGAAAAACGCTCAAAAAGCTTTAAAACGTGGAATTTTAATCAAGTAAAATTAATTTTTATATTGGATTACGTTGACAAATCTACAGATAAAAATTTTAAAAATACAATAGAAGGCAAAAAATAAAATAGTAAATTATTTATCAAAATTAAAACTCTGAACGCCAAGGAATATCTTATAATGTGGAAAATATACAGGGTGAGGCAAAAGTATGGAAACCCCCGAATAAGTTTTGAGAAAGGCATTTTACGAAAAAATGTTAAATACAAAAGTTTTAGGAAATTTCTCTGGCTTTTCAATGGTGATCTTGGATTTGACCTTGACCGTGACCTTGAAGGTCATTTGAAGGTCAGAGTAATTTTTTAAAATGGAAACCCTTATTTTTTATTCCAAAATCTAATAGCTGGTGTCAAGAGCTTTTTAAAACACTATAATGAAGTTATTTTTCATTAAGTACTTTTCGAGTTATGAGGCTTGTAAATTACAGTTATTTTGACATAAAATACAAAATATCTTGTAAAACATTCAATTTTTGGGAATTTTACCTTAATACTTTTATGCATAAAATAATGAGACGAATCAATTGGTATAAAGAAAACACATTGGTTTTAAAAAAAAGTATGCAGTTGCATGTTGCAAATAATTTACAATACGTGTGTATTATTTCAAATCTGATTGATATACATAATCATGTTTTACAAGTATGCATTATCGACACTTTGTAGATATAGCACATATCGGAACCAAAAAGTCGTGGACGTAGCACGGAAGAGACCCAAAAGATCGTGAACATTGCCTACGGGATTCGTGGACATTGGCTACGTAGTTCAATGTGCACGTTTTGTGCACATAGAGGCGCTAACCCACGGAAACATGTAAAATGCGGGCATGTCTACTCTCAGTCTTCTCTCTGGTCGTATCATATGTTGTGACATGCGTTAGTATACTTTGTAATCAAATACGTGGATATTAATTAATTTGACTTATTTTAATTAACAATCTGTATAAATCAACGATGTGCTTATGCTATTCATAATAATTCATAATACTCGAAAAACATAGCCACATAGATAATCTACGTACGTAATTTGATAAAAGAAGAAACAATATCAACGAGAAAATGAAGCAACAAATAATCGATTCCAAAGCGAATCCTAATGCAACCGGGGAAGCTGACGATTGTCTCTTCGAATATTTACATGCTGAGCTGGTCAATTACGTTCTGAGCAAATCAACTAACGCTGCTGTGAGTATTGAATATATGTGCAAAGCTATTTACATATCTGTTATTTACCGTAAAAAAGCATTTCCTAATTGAGAAATATACATCATTTCTAATAGGAAGGCGAAGAAGAACTCTCACGTTTAGAATGGATGGGATTTAGTGTCGGATATAGAATTATCGAACGTCTAACGAGAGAATGGAGCAGATTTAAGGATGAGCTGGACATGATTAAGTTTATCTGCACGGACTTTTGGTCCAGCTTGTATCACAAGCAAATTGATAATCTCAGGACGAATCATCATGGAGTATATGTACTGCAAGATAATGCCTTTAGACTGTTGGATAAAGTTGGCACGAGCAATAGCAAGCAGTATCTAAAGGAGAGTCCTCGTCTGTTGGCTTTCACTTGCGGTCTTTTAAGAGGCAGCTTAGCTAATCTTGGTATCATTAGCACTGTTACTGCAGAGACTACTACATTACCAAGCTGTAAATTTCATGTTCAAGTTCAAAAGATTTAATATCCTGATTTTTCATTATATTCTAAAAAAAGATATAGAAATATGTAAAAAGATATATTCTAGGTGTATATCAAAAATATAAAAAATGTAACAGAAATTTCTTATACACAATTTATGTTTTTATGCGTTTAGAGAAAAGAAAATCATTAATTTTCATAAAATAAAATATTTCTGTAATATTATATAATTTAATTATACATCTTTATTATGAATTATGGATGTCTTAAAGAATATATATCCAAATGTTAATATATGCATATTTATTTATAACATTTTCATATGTTTTGTACTTTTTTATCTAAGCTGTTTTCATTTTGTAATTACTTAAATCCATAAAATTATTACAAAATTACAAAGCAATGCTTAAAGGGTCTCCTAGTCACATCGACCATTTTACGTCCGGAGCACATTTTCGCCATGGCCATCGGTGACCTGAAGACCGATAAGAATGTCAAGAATCTCAACATCTACCTCGCCGTTATATCTAGGGGTGGCAACCAACCCAGGCCGATGTTGCAGTACTGGGAAAAGTATCAACATCATCAAATCCCCACTCCGTTGATACAATCACATAAAATCATACGATTTTAAATCACTTCCTGGAGGAAAGAAAATTCCTGTTATCTTTAGCACCGCTAGTGTTCCACAGCCTCATCCACAGCAAAAGCAAATGACGATCTGGATTTGTTCGGATGAGGAGGAAGATGCGGAAACAGCGAAGGGTTAAAAACATATGCAGAAAAGAAAAAAAAAGCCTGTGATCGAGTTGTTAAGTCGAGTATCGTGGTGAAGAGTTGGGGAGATGAAACGGACATGAAGAAAATTAAAAATGCCGTGAGATTGATCTAGATGGACGGCCTTTGGGATGCATTAAAACTCGTCTCCGTAGGCCATGGTATAAACAAGTCACAAATAATGTGCATGATAGAGAACGAACATGTGTCGATAGACGTGTTGAACAGATTCAAGAATTCGTGGATCTAATTCAATCGGTAGACATTGCTTTGTTTAACAATATCTTAAAACAAAAACAGCTTACTTTTAATATTTGCTTTTTAATAATGCTTAAAATGCATAATTGCTATAAAAGGCATTAAGAAAAATTGTTTTACTAAGTCTAAAAATAATTGTACAATTCTATTGGCCGTTTTTCTTTGTTATATAAATCATTAACCTGATTCTATGGAAACACAAATGTAATATCCAATATAAAATTAGCAAGAATATTTGTGATATATTCAGTCTTCTGTATTACGTAAATGTGTAGATATATATTGCACATAAAAATGCAGAGATATATTGATATATTAATATATAGCACAAAGAAAAAACGGACAATCCTGCTTTTAATGATATACAATACGGTCGAATTTTACATAACGCCATTACTATGTACTATATTATCACCTTTAGTTATGAAATTAAAAATATCATTTTGATTTACAATACCCATTAAAACGTTATCATCATTTAGAACAACAGCGTAAGGTTCTTGTTTAAGCTTAAACGACAATTGGCCCAATGTAACCGAGGCTGTAACCTTTGTAAATTGTTTGATCATGACTTTCTCGGCGCAATCTGTTCGTTTCACCGCACCGGAAATCAAATTGGATAGAAGCGCATCTGGCGTGATAACACCTTTAACGTGTAACTCTTCATCGTCAGTTACCAACAATTGCTTAGTATCACTAGTAGTATTAAAGAAATCGACAGCTTCTTGACATGACATTCCTTTTGACATTACAGGCTTCTTCAACGATAAATTTGATATCGGTACGCGCCACCACCATTCGTTCATCACTGGCAAAATTTCAGTCGGCTGAAAAAAGAAATTGTAATTTATTAATTATACGATATGTCTGTAACATAAATATATGATATTTAAATATGACAAATGTTTTACCCCAAAATCTCTGGCCGCCATCCATTCATCCGACACGAATTTGGTCATGTAATTGCGTATGCCATCTGGCAAGAGAACAACCACACGTTTATCCTCGGACAAATCTTTGGCAATTTTTAATGCCACTGAAAGTGCCGCGCCGCTACTGCCGCCGCACAGTAGTCCCTCTTGACGAATCAATTCGCGTGCCAAATTCAACGATTCATGGTCCTTCGTCTTCATCCACTTATCGACTACATCGCGATCCAAGACCGTGGGTACAAAATCATATCTGTGAAAAGGAAATTTTCCTATTGAAACTGCATCATATATAAAGGTTTTACACTACTTATAGCATATATAAAATAATTCACATACCCAATTCCTTCTACTTCGTAAAATCCAATATCATTTTTATTTAACTCAGGTGGCTGCGCCAGAATACTGCCTTCAGGATCCACGCCGATAATTTGTACACTAGGCGATAGTTCTTTCATTTTGCGGCCGATTCCGGCTATTGTTCCTCCGGTACCGGCACCGATAACAACTACGTCTATCTTCCCGTCGCACTGCTCCCAAATCTCAGTTGCAGTTTGATCATAATGGGCCAATGGGTTACCAGGATTTGTATACTGTACAGAGTTCGAAATTAATTTTTAAAACTGATACACCTTAACAAAAAATACTAAAATTAGATAAGTTACTTGATCTAGAACAATACTGTTAGGTATCTCCTTTTGCAATTTTTGAGCAACACTGATATGCGCTTCTGGACTGTACCATGCCGCTTCAGTGGGCGTTCTGACTATTTTTGCGCCAAGAGCGCGAAGTACGTATACTTTTTCATTAGACATCTTTTCTGGCATCACAATAACGCAATTGTAGCCTTTAACTGCTGCGGCCATCGCAAGACCAATTCCAGTATTGCCGCTAGTTGGTTCAATAATCGTATATCCTGGCTTTATCAGTCCCTTTTCTTCTGCATCTTGAATCATTCTATATGCTATTCGATCTTTCACAGAGCCACCAGGATTGAAGAATTCACATTTTGCAACTATATAAAAAAATTAATTCATCATAAGAATTTTTATCAGACTCTTTCTCTCGTGAAACGTACAAGATATAATATAAAATATTTACTAACATATTTCACACTTAATCCCACGAGATTTAGGAATGTTATTGAGCCGAACAAGAGGCGTCTGACCAATTGCACTTAAAATATTTGGTAATACTTTCTTACGATCTGGTGTCCTGGAAAAAGGAATATAATTAGTACACTATTGATACAGTTATCAATATAAAATGCTAAAGTTAAAAAATTGTGCAATATTACATCCAATGATAAGGCAAGAAATTACTTCATACAAACATACAACTATTCTTTACTAATGTGATTATCTTATTATTCTATGATAGTATTATCAACATCATGTTTCTGTGTACAGTGTACTGTGTCTATATTGTTTGTTTTGCTTTCATAACATTGCGTGATAAAAGCATGAGAAATCAAGTTTCGTATTTTAGTGATATGTTTTTATGATCTATTGACAGACTTTAATATCAGACCACATGATAGAATTTTTCATCTGTTGTAATGCTATAATGGCATGCATGTGTAATAACTGATGATTAAGGCGCATAATGAGAAATTATATTCAAAAATTCGTTATATCACAATACTGTGAATCACTCACTCTATTTGCTTTGTGTGTGGTGAATTTTTCTCATTAGCTTTCCACGTACATTTAGTTGGTCTATCTGGTCGCATCAGCTCCATTATTACAATTTTCTCTTTTTTTTATTATAAAACAGGTGAAAATCCTAGTTGCAATAAATTAATAGAATGTTTCTGATATATAAAAAAATCGGTGATGCAAAAACTGTGTAAGATATGCTAATTGACCTACAACGTGGCTGTAAATTAATTTTTTTTAACCGTAGTTTTCTTATCTATGCTTAACAAGTCAAATGTGAATGTTTTAAAGAAAAAAATTAGAATATAAAAAATGTAACTAATCAAATCACAAAAAAATGTGCAAATTAGTATCAATTAATCTTAAAAAGCTAAAAAATTATGCTGATTTTTGTACTGCTGATTATTCAGGTATAAAAATACGTTTTATCACAAAATATCACTTTTGAAGCACGACGAAATCTAAGAACAAAATCAAAGAAAGCAGATACAAGAATCAACTGCTGTATCACAGATTTTTCACTGATAACGGAATAATGAAGTGCCTGCCGAACCACTTCCAACTGAATTCTAACACACAGTGCAGCGACGCCAGATTTGAAACGTAAGAAGCGAGCAGCATGAGGAAGAGAATATCGCACACACATGCGCAAGCATGATGTATGTACATATATACATGGAGCTCTACGCTTCGGCTAGCTTCGGATTTCGATATTAGAAAGGATCAGATGTACTATTTCTGTCTCCTTTTTTATGCTCCAGCAAGAAATTTTTTACCATTATTTTACCAACTTTATTTTTTTTTTAAATAACTAATTAAGCATAAGTTAATATGTTATTAATTAATTATAAGTTATTATATTGTTATTATTAACACAATCTTTTATTTATTAATCTTGATTTGAACTGTAAAAACATCTTTTCATATATCAGTAAATGTTTATATTTATTATAAAAAGTCTAGTTATTTAGCACGAGATCTTTACAAACTAAATTAAACGTGAAATTTGATTGTATCACTAACATAATTTGTGCATATCAAACATTCAAGTATTTTACAAAAAAATGTTACAAAGATCTATAGAACGAAGATATATTAAAATTATGATTATTATAAATTATAATGTGATGGAAAAGAAAAAGGAATAAGGCTGTAAATATATGTATGAAATAGTTATATTTTTATAAAAATTTATAATTTATTCGTATGTTTCTATTCTTCAACCAAGTATCCTGTTAAGATATAGCCACCAGTGTCACTTGTCAGTATATGAGGATGCGTCCTGTCAGGTAATACTTGATACGAACGTAAAAAGTTTGAAAACAATCTCACATTTATTACATTGTATTTTTGTTTGAGTTCCATATAAGTTTGTTGCAAAGGTTCTCGATACGTATGAAAGATGACGAATGGTCGTGAAGCTCCTAAGAAAGGCAACAGTGCAGCTGCAATATTTGCAGGATGTTCTCTGGTTATAATAGTTAAACCACGAGCCTTCGAGTTATTTAATAACTCTACGGCGCGTTGTGTCTCCAGCAACCATTTTGGTTTTTTCGAAAGTGTCGCTTCCTCTTCGGGTTCTTCTATTTCATCAAATTTTCGTTTTAAAGTATCAGTATCTTTCTTAGTATTATTTAAAGACGGATTACTCTTTTCTTCTGTGTTACTTTCATGCTCCATAGTTTCAGCTTCAATCTTAGATGTTTCATTATTTTCATGCCCTTCAGCTTCATTTTTGGATGTTTCATTATCTTTATGCTCCATATTTTCAGCTTCAATCTTGGATGTTTCATTAGTTTCACTGTTAGATTCTTCAATTGTATTTTTCTCGATATTTTGTGATTTTTTGACAATATAATTGGTCTTTTTAGATGTGGAAATCTTATCCATTATATTCGTTTCACCTTGATAATGTAATCTCAAGAAACTATAAAGATTCACTGCAATATGCCTGTCTTTCAATTCCTGTGGAAAATTCATGGCCTGAACAATTGTAGTTTGAGGCATATTGCCAGGATGTATATTAATCAAGTAACCGCTGGTGTTTGCACCTATTCTGTTTAGCATAGCAGCAGCGGGTAATCCCTGAGATCCACTGTCATACAGTATGTGCAATCCATCAGATTGCACGTCGCTGTAGGATAATATCTGAGCTAAAGCATCCATCCTTAATCCTCCAATTTTATCTTGATTTTGTCTGAAGTACACCTCATGAAGTGATAATATTGAAGGTTTACACACTGTCAAGAATCTGAAATACTTGCGTTCTTTCTTCTTAATATATTTCTCTTGCGAGTATTCTGTTTTGGCTGCAAAAGACGTACTGTTCTCTATGAGACTGCCCATGATTTCTTTACCGGATTTGCCAGCCTCCTGCAGCTGCAAGATCTCCTCCTTCGATAACTTCTGGGATGTGCCATCATCTGTGATAAAACGATTATCCTGTCCGCTCAGGTCACCCTTCAAATCGTCCCACGATTCTGTTTGTTCCACTAGTCTCAAAGAATAGCAGCCTTTACTGTCTTGCAATGACATTATTTCGAAAGTGCTCCAAAACGGCTTTCCGATTATCTCACGCATATCTACCTTGTCTTTTCCTAGCATCATAGTGCCGTTTTCAGACACCTTGTATAGTTTACTAAAGTTCTGCTTCTTGATTATTACATAGGTGCCTGCTGTGATTACATCCTCCATAGACTCGCATGTATTTTCCGGAGTACTGCTCATCGTATCTTAAATTTATTTCGTAAGATTTTACAAAATCTTTGTTTTTTACTAAATACCTTATTTATTAAATACCTCCTTATTCAATGCTAATTTATCTAATAAGTTTTTTGGCACAAGGCGTAGAATCTTGCCAATTGTTAGGTTAGAATAATCCTTCACTTTCGGGGGCTAGAATGACGAACACATGGTCGTGTACGGTCATGTACGATCGTTGATCCTATTTGCTTCTGTGTGTTAGAGAATAGTGATATTATATTTTTACATAATACTATGTGATTGTGTAATCATATGTTTCAGTAATAATTTTATTCTTTTATGTAAAAGAGTGTGCAAAATTTGGAGGAAGATAATCTGAATATAACCTCAATTGTGTGTCAGCACGTGTCAATTTTGACGCATTTTGACGCATTAGCACATATGATATTGCGTATGTTACAATTAACATAATCTTAGATATAGGTATTACGATGTTCTTTTACCAACATTTATTTTAATTTATGCTTACAAAATTCTGATTTAACAACATTTTTTAATAATATATTTTTTATTTCAATTATAGACCAGAAGAATAAAAATGGTTCAGTATAATGAATTTCAAGCCATTGTGCTTGCTGGAGGGAAAGGCTCTCGTATGACAGAGCTTACGACAGACCAGCTCAAATGTTTGCTCCCAATTGCAAATGTTCCTATGATTTGGTATCCCCTGCAAGTTCTGGAACGCTCTGGTTTCAAGGAAGCAATTGTTATTGTGTCTGAATTAACAAAATCTGATGTATCAGCATCATTGGAAAAACTAGGTTTGAAAATCAAGCTAGAAGTTATTGGAATTCAAGGAGCTGAGGATCTTGGTACTGCTGAGTCCATTAGACTTATTCATGAAAAGATATATACAGATTTCTTGGTAATATCTTGTGATCTGATCACCAATATCGATATATTAGACATATTAAACTTATACAGGAAACATAATGCAAGTATAACTGCTTTAATGTTGCCTGTCCCAAAAGTTCTTGATGACTTTGTAACACCAGGCCCAAAAAATAAGCAGAAACCAGAAACAGACTTAATTGGCATTGATAATAATACAGGAAGGTTAGTTTTCTTAGCGTCTGCATCTGACTTTGAGGAAACAATCAATATCTCACAAAGGCTTCTTAGAAAGCACACTAGTTTTACTATTCATTCGAAATTGATGGATGCACATTTGTATGTCATTAATAAATGGGTATTGGACTTTTTAGTATTTAACAAGTGAGTAATCTTATTAGTAAATAATATAAAAAAAAGTTTTAAAGACTTAATTATATGACATTTACAACAATTTGTAGGAATTTTACAACATTGAAAGGTGAATTTTTGCCATATATAGTCAGTAAACAATTGTCTAAACCTAAATGTGTGGATGATAGAAATACTTCTATGGTACAAGTGGATTTGAAGGACGATATCTTTCGTTTTGCTATGGAGAAACCTTTAGATGAGCTGATAAGAAAAATGTCAGCTTTCAATGATCATAACACTGATTTGGAAGAAGCTTATCATGGTGACATAATAAGATGTTATGCTTATGTGTCAAATGAAAAATTTGGTCTTAGAGCAAACACTGTGCAAATGTATCATCTTGCTAATGCTAAGGTTGTTAATATTTAATATATTCATTACATGCTTTATAAAATAGCAACACTAATTTAAGAAACATCTTGAACAGATATCAGAATGGTGGAATGCCGATAATAAAAATACCAGCCAATTGTCACTGCTGCCAAGTATCTCGAGCATGGCAAATGTACGCAGTACACAAGTGCAAGAATGTCGTATAGATGATAATGCATTCATTGATGAAAAAACATCGCTTAAATATAGTCACATTGGACCTAGCAGCATTGTGGAATCGAAAACAAGAATATCTCAGAGCGTAATAATGGCAAATGTAACTATTAAGCAAAGGTAAGAATATTATCTGGTCAAAGTATTTATATTTGCCAACTATTTTTATGATTCACTATGCTGCATATTTTTATTGCAGATGTGTTATTCACAATTGTATATTGTGCAATGGCTGTATCATTGAAGAAGGTACTGAATTAAAGGATTGCTTAGTTGGAGCTCAACATCTTGTGATATCTGGTAGCCAACATTCTCGCGAAGTACTCACAGATGCGAACAAGCTTATAGAAATTTAATTATTTGCAATTATATTATTTATAATTATTTACAAATAAAATTTATGAGTAAAAGAAAGAAAATTGCATTTTTACTATTGGCGATCCCAATTAATAAAAATATATATTTTTTACATATACATTAATGTAATATATTTTCCAATAGCGAGACAGATTATCTCTAAAATAAAACATGTTAGACAAAATTTGCATTGACCTGCCAATTTATAATTTATGTTAGGTATATTATATTTTTCAACATTGTCAGTGCATTTTAGGCAATTTTGTAACATAGATATCTAGGGAAACATAGGAAAGAAAAAGAAATCGTACCAATCGAAAACAATGATTACTTTTTTCCTATTTTTCCCTAGATATCATATTACCAGCAGAGAAAAACCTGAGAGGGGCCACGCTGCCGTTTTTCTTTCGTACGACGCTTTTTCTAGGCTGTACACTAGCGGCGCGTACATCCATTTTACAGCCTGCCTGGACCTATATGGCCACATCCATTTTCCGGGATGGTAAAAGCAGAGAGAAGACTGAAGCCGAGAGCACAAGCTTTTACATAAAGCATAACGCATAAGCATAAAGAAATTGATTGGTCTATATATAAGCATAAGCAAATGCATAAGGAAATGGACCAATCAATTTCCTTATGCTTATGCGTTATGCTTTATGCAAAAGTCTGTGCTCCGGCCATTAGTATTACCAGCAAGGGCACAAAAATATTAGGGCTTATCCAAACCAATTTGCATTGTCGCATAAACATATGCATAAGGAAATTGATTGGTCCATAAACAAATAAATAAGAAAATGGACCAATCAATTTTCTTATGCATATGTTTATGCGACTATGTAAATTTGTCTGGATAGGCCCTAAAAGCTATCACACACAAAATGACTGCATATGCATAGCATAAGACCGTCTCAACCAATGAGCATGCTATGTAAATCAATATGGCGCCTTTATGCTAGATATTCATTGGTCGATACGGTCTTATGCTATGCATATGCAGTTATGGCATTTTGTGTGTGATGGCCTTAATACCCTCATCAAAATTAGTTCCAATCGGCAACTATAGAGGCATTAGAGCATGAACGATGGAACGTGATGGAACGTTTGGACTAGTTTGGACTTGAAACGTCGTGTATTGGTCCTTGTTCCGGTTTGCCTTTTTGTCTAAAATGGTAAGTGTAGATTTTTGTTATTGAAATCTATTTATTTCGCTGCAATCTTATTCGTTAACCGGTTTAATAACTCCGAAAAGATGTCTTTAATTTTTACAGAATCCATATAATTACATAGAATCGGACAATAAGAAATATTGGTTTGCATAATAATTGATACAATATCGTATAGGTTATGACTATGTTTATCCTGATGTATGCTCAATTTATAGAATACATTTATTTTCTATACAATTGTTTATTATTACAGAAGTTATTCAAATTAATTTTTTTTAGCTATTCTTTATCATTGTTTTTAAGTTTATTTTGGTATTAACGAGTTGGACATCATAGGTTATGCTAACCACGTTATTTTTTTGTTTACAGACGAAGGGTACATCAAGTTTTGGTAAACGGCGTAATAAGACGCACACGTTGTGCAGAAGATGCGGACGTAGTTCTTACCACATCCAGAAATCGCAATGTGCACAGTGTGGTTATCCAGCGAAAAAGATGCGTTCGTGTAAGTTTTCTAATAATTTTATAGAGAACTGTCACTCTTATGTCTAACTTAAATATCGAAAAACAAAATATTTAATGTTATATATATATATATAATTTAGTAATATTAATTAAAGCTTTATTTAATTATTTAATAGATAACTGGTCAGTCAAGGCAAAGAGAAGGAAGACTACTGGTACTGGTCGCATGCGTTATCTTAAAATTGTTCGCCGCAAGTTTAAGTAAGTTATAATGATTATATTAAGAAAATAATAGTAAAAAAATAGTATAGAGCGAATAAAATCAAATTGAAAATGTGATCTTTGAAGTAAATGCTAAATATTTTTGCTAAACTAAAGCTCACACTTTTAATTTGATTTTATAATCTATCAGGAACCATAACATATTTGTTAGTAGAATAAATAACAAAATATTTAATAAAAATAAAACTTTAACGGTTACTGTTTTGCTATTTGATATGTTTTTGTATGCATACAGAATTATTTTATATATTTTTTCAGGAATGGATTTAGGGAAGGTTTGCCAAAACCTAAAGCTGTTGCTGCTAAATAATCAATGTCCTGTCTTATTGCCTGATAAGGTTGTACACATTTTGACACAATAAAATACAAAATAAAAATGTTTAAAATCCAATCATAACATCATTGTTATAATTAGAATTCCTTATAATTCAATAAGATACATATGTTTTTTTATAATTCCATAGGATTATATATATATCTCTCTCTTTTGGAATTATCTGTTCCAAGGCTTATATTAAGTCTCATGTTTTTTTATATCGGTTAAAGCTTTGATACAATTCTGTGTAAGATTTATAAAAAGTGAAGTCTAACAAATTCTTACGTTATTCCAACAATAGATAAGATATAATTTTATTATCATGGTTCCATTTTTCTATTAAACACCGTTTATAAACACTGGAGATTAACTTCTGAGAAACTTGTGTGCGCATTCTTATGTATTATATCACATCTGACAAGAAAATTTAAAGAAATACATGATCGCAAAGATAACGCGCGTCGTTTGCACTGCGCAACCTCAGCGGAATTTTTGATTGTCGCGGCGTCGTATATTTAGCGGGCTTTCGACCTCGCTAAACAGTACGATCGATGCAAGATGATAACTCGGATGATTGGTGCTGCAATTCTATCGTGCATCTAGGCGTTCGCCGATACTGCAACCGAAGATAAATCGATCTTCAGTCAGCCAGTTTGGGAGTTATGCCACGAAATAATATTCAGCACACATTTCGTCTTCACAAACACCGCAGAATTAAGGAGAATTGTTCAATTAAATAACAATCAATTTAAAAAGGAAGAAAAACGCATTTGGAAACAAATTCAGAAACAAAAATACCAAAGATTGAATGCATCCTGTTGATGCATTGTTTCTGACGTACGGCGATCGAGAAGAAAATAATTTGTTGAAAAAAATAAATATTAACATCTCAGCACATACGTACAGTTTTCAAGGAATATTTACAATTATAGAAATTTTCTGCTTTATATAATCTATTATAAAATTTATTGAGAAGCAAAGTACAGATTTTTATAACAGAGTTTTTCGCGATAATTTTTCACAAATGGGTCTTTTGCGTCAGCTACTATTTGGTAAGTATAATGCTTATTTTATTAAAAGATTTAAATTATCGCATATTTCATTAATATAAGAAATTAAATTTGGTATTAAAATTATGTGGATGCTCGATCGTCTGTCTTTCTAGGTAAATATCTACTGGTCACCAACACGGTAAGCTGCGGCTTGATGATGGCAGCAGGAGATGTAATCCAGCAACGCAGCGAACATTGGAAAAAAAATTATTTTCACAAATACTTCCCGAGCAGCGTTATGGCAGCGTCGCCGGAAGATGAAGAGATGAAGATAACTTCCTGCGCTTCTTCGTATGGGCACGATTACACGAGAACCAGGAACATGACGATTGTGGGGTTGCTCCAAGGCCCGTTTCATCATTGGTTCTACTTGTTTTTGGAAAGAATTTTGCCAGGCAGAAGCGCAAAATCGGTTGTTAAGAAAACGCTTCTCGACCAATCCATCGCGAGTCCCACGTGTCTGGCAATATTTTTCGTCGGCCTCGGAATTATGGAGCATCGTGAAATCGAGGAGATTTGCAAGGAGCTGAAACTAAAGTTTGCTGACACATGGAAAGTATGTATCGCAGCAAATTATATGTTGATCAGTATTTAAAAATCACCAATTATATGTAAAAATCTGCAAAAGTAATTAATATAGAAAATTTTTAGAAAAGAAAAGTGATAATTATTAAACAATAACTTAAATCTAACGGATGGAGTGTTAAAAAAGATAAAAAAAAAATTGCTATTAGATTTCTTCTTAAGAATTATATATAAATAAAATATGTAAATAATTTAGAATATTATGCTGCTAGGTTGATTGTTGTTTTTGGCCACCCACGCAATGTATTAATTTCCTCTTTGTGCCCTTGCATTATCGAGTACTTTATACAAATGCTATGACGATGGTCTATGACATTTTTCTGTCTTATATAAAATACGTAAGTGTTACCTGCACAGTATTTATCGTGTTATTATAAATAAAAGTAAATGCATATTAAATTGCGAAAAATCATAATAAAATGATAATTTCTGATTTAATTTACAGGACGCTGATTTTGAATGATAAGAAGAAATCTCACAGTCTGAATGGACTAGTCTAAATAAAATAAAACTGTAATAATTGCATGCTCTATATTCTATATATATGTTTATATTAATTTTATGTAACAATGTGTAATAAAATGTTAATATTTCCGAAAGTAAGATTGTTGCACCTTTCCATATCGATCCCTTATCGCAATCTATTTGTTTGTTTTTACGATTTTTGCCAGATAATAAGTGCAAGTAATTATATGTTACAATTCCTGATGCGATATGTACAAAGTTGTCGATAACAATAAAAATACGTGTGATATTAAAAAATAAAATATTATTAAGACAAATAAATCAACTATTATCTTACGAGTTTTCTTTCGAAAGAGACAATAATTCTTGTGCTATTAATTGCAAATTTTATTTATCGTTAGCTGTTCGCAAATGTTAAGTGCATCAAAATTTTCTCCCAAATTTAGTTTTTTAAATATACTTACATTAAAAACGTAATATCAGATTCATATTTATCTTTTTATGTTACTCAACAAGATTGCGAGAACGGAGCGTTCTACTATACGACATTGTTAATTCATTATTGGATAAATTTGATGTCGTGAGTGATATAAATTAGATGACACTAATAAACTTCCGCCATACGATTATTTATGTACGAAAGAATGGAAAGTAATAGCAATCGCCTGATCAAACTAATTCTTACGGACATATAACAATGCGCATCCCAAAACAATCTATACCGATTGCCTTATCAGACACAATAATCACTTATTGAGTTTATTTATTTGCTCGACAGCTATTGTTTGGCATTTGGCGACGGCGGGATTACGCAGTCTTCTAAACAGTCGCCGTCACGAGCACAAATACGATTAATGGACATAAACACAAACAATAAATTTAGCGCTGCGCAACACAACGACTGCCGTTCCTACACGTGGAATGTGCAATTTGATAACAAAGCTCGCGTGTCATCATTCTCTCATTCGATTCTTTTTATTTCATTAATAAGGAATAAGTGTCTAGTAATGCTCTTGCATTCTTTGATAAAATTAATGACGTCGTATTGCCAGTATTTCCTCGGACAATGTTACTTACTCCTTTTATATCTTCTTAATCCGTTACATTTTTTTCCACACAGTGCATGACAATGCTAATAAATCATAGTTCCTTATTCCGATAGATTATCGATGATACACGATCATCAATGTCATGGAAAGTTTTCAATTAATGCTTGAGATAATAATCTTTACGCGCGTCAATAATCTCCTTTGTATGTGTGTCAATAACCTTTGGCCGCAAAATTCAGTTGCAACATAAATGACGAAATGTTAATTGAAATCCTGATATAAAAAACGCATCGATCATATCGAAAATTCCGAATGCCAGTTTTATCTTTTCGCATAAATTCATTGTTAATCGCATTGCGCAAGATTGCACGGTTCAAAGGTATTGCAAGATGATGCATTAATAATAAATTAAAGTTAAAAAGAAAATTTGGTAATATAAATGCTACTCATATGAGTGAGAAAACGAGTGAATACACAATTCTACACGACCCGATGCGTTTCAGATGAAAATTTCTACTCTGCATCTGCATATTCTGACACACTACTACACTATAGTCACTCTGCGTTCGCATAATAATGCAGTGTAACCTGTTGCGCGTATCGAACCTAAGCGTGCCATGCGTTCGAGCGGCGCCTGTTGCCGTGTTTGAGTCTTTCCGCCATTCGTTCCATCTCGTGTCTCATTTATCGCTGATAATGCGACGACGGTAATTACGAGGAATCTTTTCTTACAAAGGTCAGGTTGCCGTAATTCGCGTCACGTTATATTTAAATTTTGCCGCGGCGGCGGTCCGGTTCCGGCGCGTTTTGCGCGTGCGGGAACACGGAGCGCGCCCCCGGCGATTTACAATCATAAACTGCGGCATTCGCTTTGTATGTATGTATATACTTATCGCGGGAGCGTGGTTTTATTATGATTTTTCAGCGCCAGGTGGCTGCGTTTTTGTTGTCGATTTGCCGTCGGCGACGCGGCGCGGCTCCCTCAGCGCCATTACATCGATAAATGTCATAGCGGCCCGCCAGTGTAAGACGCCGTTGAGAAACCCGTCAAAAACCTGTCACTTCCCTTCTCCGCCGAAGAACGAAATCGCTTTTTCAAATAGTTACGCGTCCCGGTCGCGCAGCGAGAGGATATGTCGAGTAAACGGAAACTCGCGGTCGCCAAGCCGAAGAATCGCACCAAGTTGCGCAAGGTTGAATATGACGAGGAGGACATTTCCAGTGAACAGGACTCGGAGGTTGACGACGCCGAAGCCGGCTCAAACGCTGACGGCGAGGACGCTGCCGTCGAGGACACGCTCGCGGACGTCTCGAGCATACCCGAGCTACCAGCTCCGGAGGTGATCTTGGTTTCTTCCTCGCGATTAAGCACGCCTGCCTGTCGCGCTTGGACGCACTCGGTTTTCTCACGAGAAACCAATTCATTTCCTCGGTCTTTGTATCGAATAAAAATGATCATGAATTAACATTATCACTGTCTTATATTCAGATATTAAAACATGAATATTTAGACGAATTAATATGTACGTATATGTATCAGAGTCTGTTATTAATATTTAAGCTGTTAATTAATTGCATTAATTTTAGGATCAATAATTTTCCATTTCTCTTGTAACTGTATCTATATTCAGAAGATAAAATTCATATTTAGCATTTTGATGCAACTAGTTTTTGATAATAGTATTGAAATCAAGTTAATTATACTTTTACAGTATACTATACTATACTTACTATATACTTTTTTTTCAATTAATTTCAATTAAATTGAAAAAAATAAAAGTATATTGTGGTATTACATTATATATTGCACACATAGTAAAAATAATTATTAAATCTTTCTTATATTAGGGTGGCTGGGGTAAACCTGGAACATTGCTCATGTGTGGCCTTACTAATTGGGAAATGGCTGGTCGCAAAGCACCGCCGAAGGGGGTAAAAGCGAACGTAGGACGTAGTTTATGGACGCCGCACACTTTCAAAAATTTGAATAATGCAAGAGTACGACTGATCGCATCTGGTCCCGCTGCTTCCCACAGCATTATTGTTACCGAGGATAATAGATGCTTAGCTTTTGGTAGAAATGATAAAGGTAAACAATATCATGTATCATTAAAAGAGTAATACTCGTGAAAGTGTATAAATATACACTCTGGCACAAGGTGATACGTCTTGATAAAACTTTATAGTGTAATTGAATTTGAATTTGCATATGTATCTCTAGTTTTGAGTTATATTCAGCAAGACATTGTCGCTTATATTGTACAATGTTTACAGGTCAATTGGGAGTTGGAGATACAAAGCGTCGTGACGAGCCCACCGAAGTCGAAGCCTTAAAAGGACATACGGTTATAGGAGCGGCGTGCGGACGCAATCATACTCTATTTTTAACAAGCCGCGGTATAGTTTTTGCCGCTGGCGACAATAAACTGGGCCAGTGCGGGGTCGGCAAGAACGACCCTTGCGTGGTGACCGCCAAGAAGGTGAAGTACACCGGACCGCCGATAGTGAAAGTGGGATGCGGCGCGGAGTTCTCGATGATTCTGGACATCAAGGGCGGCCTGCACTCGTTCGGTTGTCCGGAATACGGCGCCCTCGGTCATAATACCGACGGCAAATACTTCGTCACGAACACAAAGATGGCATTTCATTATGAAAAAGTGCCTAAGCGAATCATTTTGTACGTGGAGAGAGGCAAGGACGGTCACGCGGCGCCGCTGGACCGCGTCGAGATAACAGACTTCAGCTGCGGCCACTATCACACAGTCGCCATCGACAGCAAGAACCGCGCGTTCTCCTGGGGATTCGGCGGAATCGGTCGTCTGGGTCACAATGAGCAGCGCGATGAACTGGTACCGCGCCTGATCAAGTTCTTGGAGCCACCTAATCGCGGCGTTCGCGCGGTTCATTGCGGCAGCACGTATAGCATCGCGATCAACGTGCACGGTTCCGCCTTGATGTTCGGCCAGACCAAGCGCACCGGCGAAGCCAACATGTATCCCAAGCCCATTCAGGATCTGTCCGGTTGGGAGATCCGATGCGTCGCTTGCTCGCAGACGAGCGTGGTGGTCGCGGCCGACGATTCCGTCATCGCTTGGGGCGCCAGTCCCACATTCGGAGAATTGGTAAAATAGAATTAAAGATAGATAGAATCAAATTGCACTTTAAACATTTCCAGAAACAAATGCATAATTCGTAATCTCTTTTCCTGCTAGGGCTTCGGTGAAATGCGAAAATCGTCGACCACTCCGATGGAAGTGAAAGCTTTGGAGGGTTTATACATCACTGCCGTTACATGTGGTTTGTCTCATACGCTTATGATCTGCCGAGACGACACCGAGCAGGAAAGGGCCAAGATTAATAAACTCCAGGTGTACTCCGTTTAAGGTACAAGAAGTGTATTCTTCGGTTGCGTAAACGAATTTCTATTGTGTCACTATGCAGATGATCGAATCGGAAGGCGGGTTCTCATTCTTTCAGCGAACCACAGCGATATATTTCGACGAATATTAAATGGAGAATCGATAATCTGAGAACGGTAACAGTAGATTAACGGTAACGTCACGAAACGTCCAGGAGAGATAATAGGATTAGATATTATACGCTACTTTGTACTTCCAGTTTTTACTTAACGCGGGAAAGAAAGTTAATCTGCGTAACATTTGAAACCCATTCTGTTAGCAGCTCAGGATATAGACCAAACAAGATAGATGCAAAAATATATTTTGATATTTTATTGAAGTTTGCCGCAATTTTTCAGCAGAATGGAAATAGTTGTTTCTATATGGAGAAGCTGGAGAAACTGCAAAGAGAACGTTATAGAACGTAGCAGTAACTGCGTTTATTTTTATCGCTTTCTTAATCGATTTACATGTTCAAATTGTTTATGACATTGATTCATCACAGTAGTACCTGAATCATTACATCTGCAGGAATCGTTTTTACAATGCGTGTGCGGAGATACTATTTCTGTACATGATCAACGTGAGTGAGATCATTCAAGCGTAAATAATATTTTATCAATATATACGAATTAAATTTCGACGTGTTTTATTAATTTAATAAGACAATAATTTAATATTTTTTTTTTTAATAAAAAATAACTAATGGAAGATACATAAATCATTTAATTTTATTTTTATTATAATAGTAGGTTTTTACACAAACATATAGAACTTTAATTTCATTGAACACATTATGTATCATAGAGTGATACAAGAGAGCTGTGGAAGTTGTAAGTTTCTTGCTAGAGATTAGTGTCCATCAAATTCACGTATACATATTTTAGGGTATTCTTCTTTTAAGCCGTATAGCACAAGTTTCTCGTCTACTCTATCGCGCGTACATGGATACGTAAAAAATGTTGGTCGAGTACATGATAAAATAAAAGACTCAGGAAGTGCGTTTAGTATTTCTTGTACTAATGAACTTCCAATTCCGATCACTGCCAAGATGTATTATGAACATCTTTTATTGTGATGTCAGACATTCATTCCATTCCGTTCCACGTAATACTCTCATGCGATTTCTGCACTGAAATATTGTTCTGATAATATTGAATCTTGAGACGAATGTACAAGTCCAATTATCAAATAAACGAATTTTTTAAGAAATTTACATTTTAGATTTTTTCATTTAACAACCTTCACAAAAAGTGTCCACCAATTTTCAGAATAGTTTTATTTATTTATTTGTGCCAATTCAATATTACATTGCTTCTTTTTATCAATTCATTTTGCTTGCAGGAAATGCTAATACTTTCATTCTTGTACGAAGTTAGCTATTTTTTTTTTCAATCTTCTCTCAAAAAAGCTCAAAAATAGATAAGTTTATACATTTTATTTTGTAAAGATAGGCAATTGTTATCGATTAATTGTATGCAAATTTGTTTTATATTAAAAAATATTCAGAAATAATAATATATCCAGAAAATGCTTTATTTACAAACGAATAAATTACAATAATGTATATTTCACATCGTGTATATATCACCACCATAATTATACTGAAATCTCTTTATAAAATATATACTAGCGCTACTTTTTGGCACAGTATATATTTCTAATAAGAGATATATTACTGTAAAATCTAAAAATTAGCACATAATATGCACAAAGTAGTGAAGCAAGGTCTTTAGATACATTTTTACAGTATAATACACGTTCTTCAGCTCTAACAATGATATGCGTCAAGCGCACATGTTGTGCAGATTATAAAATGACAAACACAATTAAAGACTATAAAAATGTTGGAGCTACGACTACTTGTACAAAAATGTGATTGATGGGCGAATATCAACGTTGGTCCATACCAACATTCTATTAAATGGCTACATTCTTCTCATTTGTATTTACAGGAACACAAAATTCCATTTATTAATGCCATAGACTTTTATGCCAAATTTAAGACTAATAGTAGTCCGTGTGTGAAGCAACATGCATGTCTTCTGACAAGTAAGAATGCATAGTATGTGCGAAGCCAATGATGTATTCGAGCTGTCTTATGTCACATGCAGCATCTCGTAGAATTACTTTCCATGCAAAGTCTCAGACTTGATGTAGTGTAAATATATTTGTTATATCCTCATCACAGTCGATTACAGCAAACTGCAGTAACAGTTTGAATATGTCTCCTGTTGCGGATTATCATTGGTCAACTGCATTCCTCTTTTTCCCATTCGATGCCTTGCACTGCTCATAGTACCATTGTCATATAATCGCGTAGAGTATGTATCCCAAAGTCCAGGTGTTTGTATTATCTATTGTATACAACATATCACATTTTAAATAGCGTCATTAATAGTAAGAAAAATTATATATAATTATACATTTTTTTTCTATACCTTCTGTACAAGTTCCTCAAAGCAACACTTCACACCATCTGCTGTTTTCGCGCTGCTCTCAATATACAAGGTCTGATGTCTCCTGGCAAACTGCAAACCTTCCTCGGTGCTCACTTCTCTATGTGGCAAATCTATTTTGTTACCTACTACCATTTTGACAATATCTGTTTTATTGCAATATGTATTCAATTCATTGAGCCATGTCTCTAATTTTATAAAGGTGTTTCGGTCCGTAACATCATACATTAAAATAGCACCCTGGCCATCTCTGTAATAACTCGGCGTTAAAGTGCGAAATCGTTCTTGACCCGCTGTATCCTGTAATAAACAACACCAATAAGTTTGAGATACGCAATATATTGCACAAATTGCGTTATCTTCGTGGGTAAAAGAACAACAAACCCATATTGCGAGTTTCACTGTATTGCCATCAATGGTAATTTGTTTGGTCTTGTAGTCCATTCCGACTGTACTCTGCATGTTCTCGTAGAATTCATCTTCGGTGAATCTTAGGAGAATGCTAGAAACAATATAACAATTACATCATAATTTATCTTAAGAGTAAAAAAATGATGAGTCGCAATTATAAATACCTCGATTTTCCCACGTTAGATTCGCCTATCATGAGAATTTTCAGCACCGTCAAAACGTCTTCCTGGTCCATAATGATGCGATCACCAATAATTGTACTCGCAATATCACCGTTAACGAGAAAACACTGATTTTCTCGCCACTATAAAATCATCAATTTACATACATTGACGTTACGCACTGTCGTGTCTACTTCTCGTAGTTTCCACAATAACAAAAATTACGTCACGAAGTATGATGAATCACATATAAATGCCGTAAAATTCACGGCGTGAATGAAAGATCAATGACAATAAGCGCTATTTAGTTGCAGCGTGCAATTTGTGTAGCTAATATGCAATCTCTATCGATAAATAGAACTCTCAGTTCATCGGCCAGTAATATTGCGCGTTGACATTATCGATAGCGTATGCTAAATAGCAATTATATTTTTTTACTAATTACTGCTAATAAAAATCAATAAAAGTTGCAGTTATCCAGTTTCTACAGTTTTAATTTCTAAAAATTGATTGCCTGGAGCAGAAATAAATGACAAAATTATTTTCAAGCTAGCTTTGAAGGAGAGAGCAGCTGTGAAAGCGAAATTGAGAGAACTTTTATCAGCTGTTTTCATAGTCAGCCGCGATCACGTGATTTCGCGCGACGAATTGTAGAAGCGTGCGTGTGCACTCTTTTGCACGCGTCGCGTCTCGTCTTTTTCTTGTTTCTAGTCTGTACGTTTCGTCAATGTGTGTTGGGCCGTGTGATTTCGAAGTCATGAGATTGACAACGCACCATTGTCATTATCGTGGTACGCGATTAATCTGGTTGCCACGTCAAATGCAGTTTTGACGTGCTCTCGAGCGAGTGACACACAACATTTCGTTGCCCCGAAAATCATCCGCAATCGAATGTTGAAAAGTGCGCGAGACGACATTTAGGTTATAATTTTTCGTTTGTATGAAAAACTACAGGAGCTTCCGTATGTTGAACGGTACGTATGTATGAATGTGTTTGTCGGTGCCTGCAGTTACAAATAGTGCATGTGGAAATAGATGAAAGACACATGTGTGTCTGTAGCTTCTGTTGGTTTATTCGACTAACAAGCCTCTAGGATGCCTGTGTGTAAGCGCTGAGAACAGTCACTCGATTGGCATGATCCGCTCTAACTGTTTGTAATTTTGTTACAGAAAAGAATGGAGAAGATGAAGGTAGAGGAATGTCAAACGAATGCTGGGCCCATGAACGCAGATAGAGGTATGTTGATTTGTCCAATTGTGTAATTAATAGTTGTATTTGACAATTTAAGAACAGCTCTGTAGAAATCTTATCTTATAAGAAACGACCAATCCAATTAGAATTCAATATTTAAACAATAATTGGTTTTTAATTAATATATTTGTTCACGATAAACATGTTTGTGATGGTTGTATTTCCATCTTAAATCAGGAAAAGCTTTATGAAGATTTTATGTCATGATGAGAAAAACACTTAAAATCATATATTTAGTTTTTTTTTTTTTTAATTGTATATATATATATATAAAACTATATTTAATAACATTTATTTACAGAGGACAGAAATGATACTAGAGATGTCAAGGCAGAAAATCAATTTAAGCAAAAAGGGTGAGTAAAGTACATTTAGTTGCTATTACATTGCTATAGGAATTTATTTTTATTTAAGACGAAAAAAAGCTTTAATTAAAGACAATCTCTTTACAAGGAAAAAATGCAATATTAATGCAACATAATATTGAGTGTTTTGAAGTATATTTCAATATAAATCTAATAATATTGACGATAGATTTTACAATCAATTTGATATAATTCAGAAACCTTGAGATATACAGAGCATTACATAAAAAAACGGTAGTAAATCATGCGAAAAGGCCACGGCATTGATTTTAATTCTTGATATCTTATTGCAAAAAGCAAAGAAACGAATACCGTCTTATTGCGAAAAGTATATTCTCTTTTGTAACTTTCAGAAAATTTGCGAGAAATTTTGTCATTAGGTTATCTTATCTGTTGCTACATATAAATCATTCTACATCATTGCTTACTTGCATTATTTATGTCGTAGTATACTATACGTGTGAGCTAGCTAGTCACGTTGAATTTAATCGAAAACGGCTTATTTCAATGTTGTTCGGGAAAACAAGTCGATCGTTGTAATTAATTGTCAGTGTTTTCGTGTTGTCAACGAGGTCGCACGAAAATTAGTCCATCACTTAAGATCTAAGTTTACCTTAAACGTTGTGTTGCAATGTTACACGTCAGTTAACAAAGATTGTCGTTCGTTTCTTTGGTATGTGCCATTAAATCGTAGTTTCCTGTTGTAAAATTAGACGAAAAATGCTCCTATTCGTGCAAACTCCAGTTTCTTCCGCGCATAAAATTTCTTAAATCGTAATTTTGAACAATTAGCAATCCGATAAATCGAATGTCGAACGGATAATTTAAATGTCGAACTCTTTTGTTAAATAATCCAGTTCTTTGTTGCAAAATAAAACGATATGCTCTGATTTTAGCAAATTTTAAGTGCCTTACATATACAAGAGAATTGATTAAAGTTGAGTCATAATTATGAATAATTATGAATAAGAATACATTAGATAGGTGCCGATCGTTTGATTGTAACTGAATTCTTTCGTCAAGCAACACAGTTTACATTTAGATTAAGCGCAAGCACGAGAACATGATACTATTTAATAATACGTATTCGCAAGGGCGTCTCTATCAGCGTCAGCTTGCAATCGAAGCACCGATCGAATATCGAAATTGGAGTCTTGCGCACGGTAGCATCCGCTTGTTGCAGAGCGTGGATGTATTAACATGTGCTTTGTGTTTCTTCGTGTGCACAGAATCGTGCGGTGCATTATCAGCGTGTGATTGAATCCTTCGCGATTCAGCAAAATGTGCAGCTGCTTCATTACAACGCGTCTGCAATAATGTGAAAGTTTTTTTTGTATTTCGAGGAGAATTACGTTCGACGAGAGTAATAAAAGTAGAAGCGGGAACAATCGTGAAACAAAAAATCGAATTTTGTATTTCCGGAAGTTATAGTGCGTATTTAAAATCATAGAATTCGACGGAATTTTTCGAGTGAAAATGTTACGAAAGTTTAAGGATGCGTGGAAATATAATGTGTTAATCGAGACACCCGATTTTGGGTAAGTATTGTTGAAGATTCGAGATTCTTCAGGGCTCCTCTCGATTGACGTTCGCACATCAAATGAATCACTATCCGCATCATCACTTTTGCATAATTATCACTACGTTTTTCCTTTGAGGCTCCATCAGTAACGATATTCAGTACGTTTTTACTCAGAAATCAATTCTGAGAAATACCGCAGAATTACTTCCCGCGACTATTATTGCTTTATTAAACACAAACACATCGCATTGTTATTCTCGCGACGCGACTGAACAGTACACTCGGCTTAAATTATATGCAATTCTTAACTCGCGGTTTAATAGCTATTAAGCGAGATCGTGCGTACGATACCATCCGTACAAGTAATGTAACTTTGTTATTAGACTGTATTAATCAGATATAAAGTCAATTAAAGTTGATAATGTGAATTGATCAAGATCTCGCGAAGGGAGATCAACAAGAGAAGATTAATTTTAAATGGAACAATTTGTAGATAACATTTTTGAGTATCTTTAAAGAACATTCGATGCATTCAACGTTTTAACAATGTTGCTTAAGCTTAAATTTAAGTTTCATGTACATTAAAAACTAAGCAATGAATAATATAAAGTATTCTAGTTTAATTACGTACTCACATAATATGTACTTAATATCTGAAAGCACTATTAGAGAATTAAATGCCTAACATCAACGAATTCTGCAAAATTTACACAGAATTACTGAAATTTTTTTATATTATTTTTACTATAAAACACAGCATTTTGAAAATCCGGCTAATTAAAAATTATAAATTAAGTATATATAATATCGAACAATTTTGCAAATCGAGCTAGAGCGTGTTTATTTCTTCTTACATTTACATTACTATCTTTTCGTTTCACAATCTCATACTTAAAATACAAATAGGTTACTTGATAGATATTTTGCAAATTGGATTCTAAAATATGTTAAAACATGTTAGACTTCTCTTGCCACGCAACATTGTTGCTTGAAAATGTAATTCGATAGATTTAAGGTTTAATAACGGAATTTCAAGTTACTTTTGTGCATTATCGAAATAATCTCCACGCGATGTCATTTTTTTCTATCTCCGCTTCCGTCTCATAGATTACGAATACCGCAAAGTCACATTCGATCTTGGGAACTTGCGATCTGGAGCACGCCTTTCTCTCTCCGTCCGCGTTTTACTTGGCCCAAGTACTCGACACAAGTAGTCAGGCTTACCTCGTACACTCGGATACTCGCACGGTTTATGTCCGTCGAACACGTATCGTTTTTTTAATAATGTGCTGCAGTGCGACTAATGTCTCCACGCGTCTCTAAAATTTTGATTATTACAATTTTCGGATCGTTTGATAATATTTGTTTTGCATTCTTAAATAGAAAGCAGTACGGATAGTCTTGCAATTTATTGCGATGTGCGTGAGCAATCTGAAGCGTCACAACGTTGTATGTAATAATGGAAATAAATCTCAATATTTGAAAATTAGAATTCTCGGTATCTTTTTAGACTCGCGAACGAGTGATGATAATTAGTGTAACGAATTATCGCTAGCTCGTGGTTATATGAGATTCCTGTTGACTCAGTTTTACAGTGTTACGCGTGTAATATGACCGATAACGTTACCTTCTAAAATTAACATCCCGACTGTTTCGCGACTATCTCGACTATCAAGAAATTTATGAACAGAATCATGTGATGTGTGATAATAAATCTGTAATATTACAACAAATTTTTTTGACACATAAAACGCTGATTCCGTATTGCACCTGTGCGTGTGTGTGTTTTTTTAAATCTAACACGAGATGACGGAGTTTGAAGGCCCGTTAGTTCATCGGGTGAAGCTGGCATATCGTAATCTGGCGAATATTTCGATGATATCGCGCGAAACACGAGGTTACTCGGGTAAATGTCTTTTGCAAATTATTTATATAGAATAAATTTTTGTATCTGTGAATCAAATTTATAAAAATTGGTATCTTAGTATAGATTAGTATTTTTTTATATTTGAAAAGTCTGTTTTAAAAATAAAATTGTGAAAACAAAGTAAAGTAAAAAGTAAATATGCTTGAAAATAATACTTTACTTGCAAAAAATATATTTGCTAAGATCAAATAATTTTTGTAATGAAAATCTATACATTCTTGAATTTTCTCCGACTTATTTCAATTGAGAATTATGATTATCGTTTATTTTACGTAGTAATAATTTTTATGACATTTCTAATCCATATTTATGTTTGAGAACGTACGAGAAACGTACAGAAGAAGTTAACGATTCTATCTATTTTTCATACAATATGAGAATTTATCAGAAATGTTTAAAAGAGAATCAAGTATACTTTGATGTAATAAAGTGGTCTCGGCGTTATCGGGATAATTAGTTCCTTCTACACATGTGTAATTACGCATACACATGATAAGCGTTAAGCTTCCCAGAAAGTGTACTGCGAGCAGAAAGCGTGAAGTCTTTTGCCTTAAATTGCGATAACTTTCACGTTCGCTGAAATTAAGATGGCAATTCCGCAACCTGCGTATATGAAATATACTTTTGCAGATGTGAGCTACACACATTAGAATTGAACGTTACATTAACAGCGTTTTTGCAATTTAAAATTAGCTGTGCACGTATGACCTTGCTTCGTGATCGGGATCATCGTCCATGTAACATTGATAACGCTCGATTTATCGCACATTTTGTATCTAATTAAAGATTTCGTTGCGATAAAATGCTACATTGTTCGATAACTAACAAACCTTCATGTATTCTTGCATGTGAAAAATAACGACATGATATACGATATGATACGACAAAAACGTGATCTTATCTCTCAAAGTTACTGAATTTACCAAATCGTAAAGGTACGCTTAGCAAGGTGGGCAATATTACAGATAAATTTATATAGCCTTTTTTTCTGCTGATTTTGATAAAATTGTTCTGTGCAAAATTATATCAATATCAATTATTCACATAAATCGTGGAAATTAAATCGTCGATTTATATAAATCGATGGAAAGTAATTAATTTCTCTTGAAATCTAAATAAGACGACAAATATGCCGGAGGGGAAATTCATTTCTCGACGACGGCAAATAATTTGGCCTTGATCGGCGCACTCTATGGAACTCCAGGCATTCGTTCTTCATCGAGCGATCCTTCCGCGCATCCCCAAGGTATTGTACACGCCGAGCTGGTCGCGTATCAGTCGGCTCTCAAATGACCGTCCGGCTTTTTATTCTGTCCATCGCACGTGAAAGAAGTGCCGTGAGCAAAAAGCGACGCCGTGAGCAACTGCGATACGGCACTTCGATCCTCTGATTACCGCAGTTATCAGTCGTTCGGCAATATCAATTCGTGTTGTGCATCGCGCATTTTTTTCGTCACCGCGCCTTTTCCCACTCGTGCCGACTTGAGCGATCGTTTAATCGCAAAAGTGGAAATCGCAATCGGCGATTCGCAAAACACGCAGCGAAAAATCAGCATTTCCACAAGAGAAACGTCGATCACGATCGGCGATCGTACGTCGCCAGAATTGCGATTTATTTTCCTTTTCTTCGATTCGTTCGATTTCTCCAAATAGTTAAACGATGATTCAGCGTTAAAGTTTTCATAGTGAATAATGATCGACAAAGAATTGGAATTCTTCAAATTTGTGTTTCCTTTTAGCGATTAACGCTTTTTCGAAAAACAATCGTCGTTTATTTATCTCGATATATAATAATATAGCGCATGTGTTATTAATTTGCTGCGCGAGTGAAAGTACCATACAATGCTTTATTCCAAGATAATAATTTTTTTGGAGCAATGTAGGAAAAATATCTTTGACCTCTGACATTATTTACTTTGATCGATCGATTTTTTATCAAATGTCGCAAACGTACGCATGAATTTTTGAAGAACTAGATACTTGTAACCCGTTCAATAAGCGTTTCTTCAGGCTTATCTTTAGGATGATTAAGTCGAACGATAAGAAATATGTAATATTTGTCGGTTAAAATAAACAAGAAAGTATTATGCTAGTGGGAGAAAGATAGCTTAGAAGCTATGGTGTACTCGGAACTATGGTGTGAATTGTTTGTCAAACTCTCAAAAATCTTAATTGAAAAATCTTAGCTGGACTTTGCATTTTGAATAATGAAGGACGAGGAGAGGCTACCTCTTCTTAAAACATACGGTGCCACCGATATCCTCTGGTAAGCTCCGTAAAAAGCTCTAGCTGTTGCGCAATTTTTCTTGCAAAAAAAATCCATTCGTTTTGGAATAAGTTTTGCTATTAACTCAAATAACTAGAAACAATTTCTAGTGTCGTATAATTATTATTTAAATGAATGTCAGCTGTTTGTATGGTAGATACGTCGCTTGCAGGAATCCGCTTCCGTGGTCGACACACTGCCGTTATCTGCGGGCCATGAGTTTCTGATAAAGGGGCGGGATTTTTTGTCGGAATTATCGATAACCGATTGGCATTCCTTCTGTCGCTTTCTGTTACGTTAGAAACGTATCGTCGTACGGTGAATATCGAGAATCTGCGATTTTGTGCGCAATGATGAATGTAGAATTTATCAATGCAGGTTATCGCACCGCGAACGTATTGCGTAAATTTATGAAAGAGATTACTGTAATTGTTTCGTCATTTTATATACACACTAATGAACAGAACATTGTAAATTATATTGTTAACAAGCACAACATTTATTACGAGTTATAGTTTAAATATTAGGGCCTTAAAAATAACTTTTTGTTAATTTTTAAAAATATGTTTGCGTATAAAAATAGATAGAAGCTAATTATCTGTACAATCCTTCGTTATTTTTTTCGTTGGATTTTAATAACTGTGTTAACGGAACGAACATGTTTTATACAAATGCAAAACAGTACGGACGACTTTAGGGATTGAATAACAATCGATGAAAGTAGTGAAAAGAAAGACTAGGAAAAAATCGAAAGAAAACGAGCGAGCAAGTGACGACAGTCAAATCGCACAGTTGACTGGAACAATTATGCAGCTTTTATAATTATAATTTAATTTTACATTTTTAATATCACGAAATATACGTTGCGTTATGCAAAAAAATGAGATTAAGTAAATGATCTTTCTTTACGTTTTTGTAGTATTATTCTGTATTTTATTATCTTTTGCACTTCGACACCTGGTTCTTGTAGTCTTTTTTTGCGTTGATTTTCTTTACGTTGAACTGCCAAAGAAATCACTTGTATTGCAATGTTTGAAATGTTGGGATAAAAATTTCAGGGATGGCGATGACGACACCGACTACGAAGGCACCACGCACTTGGTGCGGGTTCCGCGCACGACGGAAGCGCGGCAGGAGACCAGCACAATCAGAATCGATATTCAGGGGATGACCTGTCAGAGTTGCGTGAGGAACATCGAGGGGATGATCGGCGAGCGGCCCGACGTCGTCAGCATCCGCGTGGTTCTGGAAGAGAAGGCCGGTTACATCGAGTACAAGACGCACGAAACGACGCCGCAGGAATTGGCGGAGGCGATCGAGGACATGGGGTTCACCGCCAGCCTGCCGATGTCCTGCGACGTCGAAAATGAAGCCGCTGCACCTACCATCAGCACCTGCAGCATACACGTGGACGGAATGACCTGTTCGTCGTGCGTGAAGAACATCACCGGTAAGTCGATTGAAAAGAAACAAATTCGCAACTCGAAGGACACGAAACAATTTTCAATTTTACTCTCAAATTATAAATTCCACATTGCACACGCTACATTTCTTTTTCGACAACTATGTATTCTCTTGTACAGGTGTTCTCTCCGGAAAGCCCGATATAAAGGATGTAAACGTTAGTTTGGAGGATAAAGAAGCCAAAGTTTCTTATAGCAGCGGCGACGTAACGGCGAATCAAATAGCGATGTACGTAGAAGACATGGGCTTCACCGCATACGTGAAAGAAGTGAACGGCAAAGCTGTGAAGTCGGAATCGGACGGCGTTATCAATGAAAGCAATAAGAAGGCGGAACTGGCGCTGCAAGTGAATGGTGCTGGTGATGTCAAAGGCCAATTATTAAAGTGCTTCCTGCATATAACCGTACGTTGTGTTCCACTTCCGACTTTTAGTTACATTTTTAAATAAAATTTAGCATGGCTCACGTGACTGTAAATCACGATTTGTTTGCCTTTAAGGGTATGACTTGCGCTTCCTGTGTCACTGCAATAGAGAAGCACTGCAAAAAATTGTACGGGGTAAACAACATACTGGTAGCATTGATGGCCGCCAAGGCGGAGGTCACGTATGACCCCAACAAGATAAGAGCAGTGGATATCGCTTCCAGTATATCAGAATTGGGCTTTCCTACAACTTTAATAGAGGAGCCCGGAACTGGAGAAGGAGAGGTCGAATTAAAAGTGAGATAGCTTTGAAGATTTGATTCACAATTCTAGAAGCATTAAGATCAAAAACCAATATCACTTATTCATTTGCATTTCACGTTTTAGAAATCAGTTTCTTATGTCTGTAATTTTTCAACATGCTTTTTCTAAAAGAATACAAAATTTATTATTAGACTTAAATTACGCAGAATTAAAAGTCGACAATTACTTTGTAAGTATAATTTGTTTCATTCTGGATTGAATTGATTTCAGATTATGGGTATGACGTGTGCGTCATGCGTGAATAAAATAGAGTCGACGGTGAAAAAGTTACCGGGTATACGATCGGCGGTGGTAGCTTTGGCAACGCAGCGGGGAAAATTTAAATATGACGTGGAAAAAACCGGTGTTAGAGATATCATTGAGGCCATTAATAAATTAGGTTTTACAGCCAGTTTGTTTAGCAATCGAGATAAGGAAAATAGAGATTACTTAGATCAAAAGTAAGTAGACATATTTATTGTTTCCCGTAACATACGTTATTTACACATTTACACAATCTTTTTTCTCTTATCTCTTTTCTTGCTTCTAACTTATTTACTGACTTAATACTACTTAATTTACTCTTATTTATCCTATAATTAACTTATAATTGAACTTGGATTTTTAATCGCCATTGCGCACATTTATCTATCTCTCTTTCGCAATTTTATCACATGCGCGCGCGTAACCTTGACGACTTTCGTTTTTTTTTTCATTTTTTGCTTTATATTTCTTTCATTTTTATCCTCTCTCTTTCATTCTCTTACTCTTCTTTTTTCCTTCTCTCCTTCCCTTTTCTCTCATTTCTGATCAGAAATATACTTCGCGATACATTTAATATTTAGTTAGCTATCTACATAATAGAAATTTTTCACGCCCTTTGTTTGTATTGCAGAGAAGAGATAAGGAAATGGCGAACCACGTTCTTGGTATCGCTGATTTTCGGAGTCCCATGTATGATTGCTATGACATATTTCATGACAGTTATGTCATTTGGCAACAAGACACACGAGGAAATGTGTTGCATAGTGCCTGGTCTTTCATGGGAAAATCTGATTCTCTTCGTGTTTTCCACACCGGTTCAGGTACGCGCGTCGAGATAGAACATGTATTTTGCTTTTACACGGTGTGGCTAAAAAGTTTCGGAACTGAATTAATAAAAATTTCTTTCACTTAGTTCTTCGGCGGCTGGCATTTCTACGTGCAAGCTTACAAAATCCTGAAACACGGCACGACCAACATGGACGTGCTAATTTCAATGACTACGACGATCTCATATCTCTACTCCCTCGCCATTCTTGCTGCCGCTATGATAATGCAACAGAACGTCAGTCCACAGACGTTTTTCGATACCCCGCCGATGCTTCTGGTTTTTATCAGTCTTGGAAGATGGCTTGAACACGTGGCAAAGGTATCTATTCGAGGCACTAATAATTCAATATCACTTCTGCGCCGAAATAGCAAAAATAAGTACGTTTTGTATTCAGGGAAAGACGTCCGAAGCTCTCTCGAAACTGTTATCCTTGAAAGCCACGGATGCAGTGTTAGTTTCGTTAGGTCCCAACAACGAAATACTGAAGGAGCGCTTGATAAGCATAGATCTGGTGCAACGCGGCGACGTGTTGAAGGTGGTGCAGGGTGCCAAAGTGCCCGTTGACGGCCGCGTGCTGTCTGGTCAATCAACTTGCGACGAGAGTCTCATCACCGGCGAGAGCATGCCGGTGACGAAGAAGAAGGGATCAGTGGTGATCGGCGGCTCTATTAATCAGAACGGACCGCTGCTGGTCGTCGCCACGCACACGGGCGAGCACACGACACTCGCGCAAATCGTGCGTCTAGTGGAAGAAGCGCAAACGAACAAAGCACCAATCCAACAACTGGCCGACAAGATAGCCGGCTTCTTCATACCGCTGGTCATAGCGGTCTCCACGGTGACGCTGATAGTCTGGATCATCGTCGGCTACATGAACATCGAACAGCTGCCCATATCGCACGGCGATCAGATCGACAAGCACGGCATGAACCGCGAGGAGATCATATTTCAGTATGCCTTCCGGAGCGCTCTGTCGGTACTTGCGATCGCGTGTCCCTGCGCGCTCGGTTTGGCAACGCCGACCGCGGTTATGGTCGGCACCGGAGTGGGCGCGCTAAACGGTATCCTCATCAAGGGCGCCGAGCCACTGGAGAACACGCACAAAGTCAAATGCGTCGTCTTCGACAAGACGGGAACGTTGACGCACGGTGTGCCGATTGTCACGAAAATCGGCCTGTTTGTGGGCGAGAAGGTTTGCTCGCTGGCGAAGTTGTTGCTGGTCGTCGGCACGGCGGAAATAAATAGCGAACATCCCATTGCGTCGGGTAAATATAATACTTCCGTTTAATCATACTGTATGTTGAATCGCGTAATAATCGTTAATTCTTCTTGAAGCGATCGTGAACTACGTGAAAGATACGATCGGAACGGGAGCCACCGGGCAGTGCACGAACTTCCAGGCAGTCGCCGGCTGTGGCCTCAAGTGTAAGGTGTCCCATCTAGACGCCGCTCTGTCCGACGCGCTCAAGTCCGAGAAGATTGTCAATTACATGAATCAAACGAGCAATGCGTCGGCCGGCACTTACAATCTCAACAATGTGCCTATCGATAACGTGCCGATCGCCGAGATGCCGACGCAGGAGCGGCAAAGCTTAGATCTGCAATTACTATTAAGTCCCGACTCGCAGGGTGATCGGAATGCTTCCAGCGACGTATACGAGGTCTGCATCGGCAATCGCGAATGGATGCGCCGGAACGCGATCAATATCCCACCGGAGGTGGACGCGCGGATGATCAGCGAGGAAAATTTGGGACACACTGCCGTCCTGGCCGCTGTGAATAACGTTCTAGTCGCTATGATCAGCGTCGCCGACACCGTAAAGCCCGAGGCGCATCTCGCAGTCTACACTCTGAAGAAGATGGGGCTGCAAGTGATCCTTTTAACGGGCGATAATAGGAAAACTGCAGCTTCAATCGCCAGACAGGTACAGATAAAATTCTATTGCATTACGAGAGATTTTATTTTCCTGAGACATTTTTTCTAAATCAACTTTTACTTCTTTTACAGGTCGGCATCACCCGAGTTTTCGCGGAGGTGTTGCCATCTCATAAGGTGGCGAAAATTCAGCGATTGCAAGACCAAGGTTTGAGGGTTGCCATGGTGGGAGATGGTGTCAATGACAGTCCGGCTTTGGCTCAGGCGGATGTCGGTATCGCCATCGCATCTGGCACTGACGTCGCAGTGGAGGCTGCTGACGTGGTTCTTATGCGCGTAAGTGTAATTAGCGACAATTACGTGTAACAAAAAAAAGCTATGTGCTTTACAAATTGATAAAACCTAACGTTGAATCATGTTGCAGAATGATCTGTTGGATGTAATCGCATGCTTAGATCTATCGAGGAAAACAGTTCGCAGGATAAGACTGAACTTCTTATTCGCTAGTGTTTACAATCTTCTTAGTATTCCGATAGCTGCTGGAATATTCAGCTCTTACGGCTTCTTCCTGCAGCCATGGATGTCTTCCGCCGCTATGGCTTTAAGTTCAGTATCTGTGGTTGGAAGTTCTTTATTATTGAAGCTGTGAGTATACGTTTTCCTAATCTTTAAATTAAAAACATTTTTTATTTCAATGAACATAGTGTCAATTTTTCTTTCCTAAAATAAAATTTGTCTTACTACTAAAGTTAATATTTGAGGATAGCTCTTGTAAGACAATTGTATAGTTTAGTGTGGTCTTCATTCCCTATATAAATAAAAAATTAACTTTCTGAGAATCAGTGGGCTTACTACGCTTGATATGAAATGTACAATCGTGTTTTTTGATATTAAAATTAATTACCCGTACAGTTATCGTAAACCGATCAAAGCTACATTGGAAACTCCGGAATACCTAGCAGCTATGCACGCTCACTCCACAGCGCGAATGATCGACTTGGACACTATATCGCTCCACCGTGGATTGGACGATTCTGTCGTACCAGTCATGAACAGGTCAACGTCCACATTGTCCAGGTATGAACAGCCGCATACGGATGTAATGCTTTCAAATATTTTGCAGAACTGTAACAACTCTGTTGCTTAATGCTAAGTGATTCTAATACAGGGAAGAGTATTAATTTATTTATTGTACTAATCATGTACATAATCCACCATACTAATTTGTGTAAATAATTTTTAATAAATAATATATGTTCTTCCTTAGCGCTTATCAGAATATTGATATTGTTTACAATAACATCACTAGAAAGCAAAGAAAAATTCAAAGAAACTTACTGATTAATTTAATAATCTATTCCAGTCTAACTTTAATAAAATTATTAGGAAATTATGGTGAAGTTTTTTGCCATTTGTATAGCTTAGAGTCAATTGATAAACTAATATAGCTAATATTATATTATTTATAAATAGCTCATAACTCTATCACGCACATTTAGTATATGGTTCATCAATTTAATTTGGTTCATGTAAATGTATTTCTTTTATTAATTTTAGGCATTTATATCTTAAAAACTAAAAATTTATAATTTAAAAAAAATATATATATATATATATATATATATTTAAAATATACATAAATTCTTGGAAATAATATTAATGTGTTTTATAAATTGCATAACAAGAGATTTTATACAATAAAAATATATTAAATTTTATTTATATAAAAATAAAACGAGTTGCATGAAAAATTTTATTAAAGTTATTTTTATTATTTTATTAAGTTGGAAATTATAATTTTTTATAATTTTAATGTTAATTAAATCTTTGATGAAATTAATTA